TTCTGGGAGTTGAAGTCCACTCATCTTAAAGTGGCCAAGTTTGGACAACACTGGCTTAAAGGAAGGAAAACGCGTAAGGAACAGAAGGCAAGTGCAGTCTTCTCACCCTCACACCTTCCACCTGCCTCCCTTTTTGAGTTGCTTCCTAGCTGCATGAAACTGAGACAGAAATAAAGACAGCAAAATGAATTATCTCTGCACTGTCATCTATCTGTATTTCTGTCCCACCCAGAAAGTGCTAGAAATAAAGAAACAGAAGAAAATATGGAAAGAAATTTCTCCTTTTGTTCTTTCCTGGGTAGTTTGAGGAATCAAGAAGAGGAGGAATGGAAGATGGGTGACAGCTCTCCTGCTTTCAATTTATGACTAAAGCACAAAACAGACTGCACAGAAAGAGGCAAGCACAGATAATCATACAAGAAATAGCTGTCTTCTCTGAGTTCAGCTCAACTAATGTCCATATAGTTTTCTTGCAACCATATGGAAGTGTATGCCATTGTCTTCCTCCAAGATGCTTTTTCCAACTTTCAAGTTTTGCATACAGAGCTGGTGTTCCCTGATAGTTTCCCACACATTTAGGAAGTCGGGTGTTCGTCCATATAGCCCCCTTTTACTGCAATACCCACGACATACTGAAACACTTCACATTTCTGGACTGTACAAAACAGGAACGCTCAATCAACCTGATCACCAAAATTTAGTCCACCAGCAAGGTGTTCTAATCATGCGCATGTCAATCTAGGACTTAAGCAACATACATTCAACTCTTCATGATAATCGGTCTACCTAAATTATTTTGGGCCAGTGATCATCTCTCAGCCTAACCTACCTCACAGATCTGTTGTAAAAATAAAAGAGGTTAAGATTAATATATGCCACCTTGAGATCATTGGAGGCAGGGCAAGATATGTATGAAACAAATAATCATGCCTCCTTGTAAAGATGAGATTGAGGAAATATTGTTCACTTCTCTGAAAGGTGTCACTTTTATTCTAAATTATGCTTCACCTTTATTTTGAAATACTAACCTGTTTCTCGTAGGTCAGCAGCTTTAGTCCTAGCAAATTTGGCTTTAGTACTGTCTTGACCATGAGGGTCATCTTCATTGGTGAACAGCATGATTCTCTTGTGGCTCATCTTGAGACGGACATCACTGAAGAGATTAGAGCAAACCCAGAGTGCCTCACCTAATGAGTAGTTATCACTATGGCCAAGTGACTTCTGGAAGAGGGCTCTTCCCTGTTCCCCTTCATAGCTGGCCAACTCTAATACCCGCTTTGCACCTAGTGGGGAAAAAAAATTATTCTCAGTTCTCACAAAACCAAAGCAATATAAGAGCTAATGTTAGTGTTACATTCTAGAAATGATAGGCCAGTATTTGCAAATAATTCAACGGTTTGTCCACTGTGTTTCATTTCCAACTCAGGAAAATAATATTGTTCAGCATGGCAGGATTCTTGGACCATCAATAATTATCTTATTTTTTTCAGTTGCTAAATACATTTGTTTCAAAATAGGAAAAGTCTGAAACTAAAATTTACAGATTAATAACTTAAGTAGGAGGCTTTAAGTAGAGAACAGCAATTTGGGGAAAAATAGCATTATCTAACTGGGTAATCTCATTGGTTATTTGCATTGTTTGCCAAACTATTGTTTTAATTAATGTTGACATTAAATTGTATAACTTGGTTGTCAGCCTCCTTTTTAACATATCAAGAATGTTTTGAATTGCATTTCTGCCAGCTATCCCATCTGGTTTTATGTCATCTGATAAGCACTCTCTAACTTTTTCATGCAAATCATTAATAAAAAATGTTAAGGAATACAGGACCCAGAACCAAATCTTATGACACACTGATGAGCATTCTCTGAGTATGATCTCTCAATTCCCTAGGTCAGTGGTTCTCAAACTTTGCATTACCATACACCCCCATATGATAAATGAATTTGTGTGAACTCACCCACCCCCATGAATATACATAATGATTTTATTGGTATTAGGGTTAGCCAAGTAATAAATATACTATCTACTTCTAATAGTCAACTCTTAATTTATGTATCACAGAGCTTCTCACAATCTGAATTACATTACAGCAATTGCCCACTGCAGGATTTTGCAGGCAAAACAGGGAGCAAACCCCAGAGTGAGTTTTCACAGTGCTCCCACTGATCAGGTTTTTTTTTAAAAAAATGCAATTCTTCTAAGTTGCTTACAGTCTCCCAGATATCCTCACTCATGATTTGAGAATTCCTGCACTATGTAACCCTGGACTCTTTCATCATAGATACCCTCCATATAATTCCCTCTTTACCTGGATTGTCCAAATCCTGTAGAATATATATGTGTTTAAAATCCACTGAATTTTTATGCTGCTCAGTTCCATAAAACACAACTCCAACAAGGTCCCTTTCGTGGCTGATGATCTTGTTTTTGTATACATTCTGAATGCACTAATAAGAAAATACAAATCAGCTGGGATGAGCTGGGGTACTTATAACATAAGTACATCTAATCATCTTTTTGACAGATGTGGGATTGTAATACTCTATAAATACTTCTAAGTACGGCCACAATTTCTGACACTTGATTTTTAGGACATTTATAGCTGAAGAAATCCTGTTAGGGAGGTAACTCGTACAAGGAGCCACTGCTCCATCTACTTCAGATTGGGGAACAGATTTCCATATCTTTTGTCCTCAGGGTTTCAAACAGGAATGCTCCTCAGAGATATCAGAGTCTGAATCAAGGACCTTTTGCATACAGAGCATGTAGTCTATCTCTGAATAATACATTAATCAAGAATTTAAGAAATATTGGATTGCAGCCTCATTTCTGCCTTCACAGTAAAGGATCTTTTATTACCTCATGTTATGGTGCTACTACTCCAACACATTTCAGAATCTTTCAAACTTCCAGATGCAGAAATAAAAAGTCATCTTACCTGAATTGTCATATCAAAAGGGGTCAAATTACTATCATCAAAGGAATCAAACATGGCTGTTGAGCCATCCACTAAGAAAAGCAAAGTGTCTCGACCTCCATATTTATATTCTCCTACAGAGGTAGAAAATATTGCATTTAATGTATGTCACCTTATTTACCCAATCCAACTATTTTATATTCTTTAACTATAACTCTCACATAATCATCAGACAGTGGTTCTGAGACCAAGGATGTACATTCATATACCAGCATAGTAATTTAATATAGCTTTTTGTTTTTGTTTCAGCTCAACAGTTTGCCCATGTTGCAACTTATGATAAGACTAGCAACGATAACAGCATTAGTTTTATTAGAAGCAACCTGTTCTATTTGCTCTGATTTTTTGAGTTTTTGCAAAAAGCAAGAGCTATAGAAGGTAAAAAGTTACCAGGGACCCTTGTGTCACACCTATAGCTATACTGAGGAGAGCCTACGCTCTTCGAATTCACATAATGCTTATGTGCTTCCTATAGGCATTAGGGTAGCTGCTGTGGAAAAACCTTTTGTTTTATCCATCATGTGCCATCATATGTTTTAGGTTTTTCAGGATATTGCACCAGCTTTCACATAAAAGTGGCAAAATATTATTTATGCTACCTATCGCATTTCAAATAAATAGACGCCTGATCCCCAATATCAGTGTAACCTAGCTGCAAATTACATTTCCCTCAACACAGGGTTTATATCTGGTAAACTAACAGCATACGGATGCCCTGAAACTGACTCTTACCAATGATTTCAGCTGCTGCTTCTTCTTCCTCTTCTTCCTCCTCTCCCTCATTTCTGTAGTATGACATCCAGTTTGACATGGTTTCCCTGTGTTGCTACAAAGAATGAATGAAATAGATAAATAACAAAGGAGAAAATGAAAGGAGAAATGGGAAAACTATTCCTATATTCACACTAGTTTCCACAGATAAAAGTGTTTCCACAGACGGAAACGTGAAGACATTGTTCATGCATCCTACTTTGGCTTCAACTACAGAAACTGAATCTCCCAGTCTAAGTTTATCCATCATATCATTATTGTTTCAGTAAACAGCAACACTGCTCAATTTGCTAAACACATTACATGGGGAGTAGAAATAGGTGACATAACCATGTACCAGGCCCCTGAAATATAAATTCAAATAAATAAATAAATAAATAAATAAATAAATAACAACAATAAAATAGCCACAGTCCAACAACATTTTGGTCATCTCTCTACTCACTACACTTTTGGAAAGACACCACTGCACCAAAGAGATTAATAAATTTGCCAAACCCTGAATTAAACAATATTCCCATAATATACAGAATAAATTACCTGTTAAAATGTTTGAGGGACAGTAAGTAAAATAAGACAATAATAAATCTAAAACTGCCCTAGAGGAGAGCCTTCTGACCTGGCAATCTCATCAACCAGCATGCTAACTTGTATATACATTTCAGCCATGACCATACATTTCTTGGCAACAGTACAAAATTCATTTGGCATTGTTTTGATCTGGTTTGATTTTGGAGTTCCTCCTAAATGAGATATACTTCCTTTACACCTGCCTTCAACACAATGATGGATAATTCTTAGCTTCCTCCATTCTTTCTTCATTGGTTCGGCAAGGGTGACCCTGTCAGAGGCTCTCAGGTCACTGAAGCTACCGAGCCTTCCCATCATATCAAGCTAGAAAGGAAAAGTGCTACGGTTTAGCACTATTATGGGTTAGGCCATTGTTTGAAACTACGCTCAAAGACAGCAACGTAATTCAATCTTATGCATGAATATTTTGAAATAGATTGTAAGGCTTTCCCCCCCC